TATCTTTATGAAATGTAGGCCACTAATATTTTATAGCAATAAATTTCTTAATGGTAGTATCAATTGCCTAGCATTGTCCTATGGAACCATTATACAATGCTTACAATAGCTTGTGTTATTAGTTGCTAAAATGCATAATCAAGTAAGAAAATTCATCTCAAGTTTATATAATTTATTATCAATATATATGTAGAATAATGCTTGGTGTGAAAAATTGAGATGACATGATCTTGTGAATGTTGATGGAATATTTTTAGTAATTAAGTATGCAATAATATCATGCATCTAATCATTTTTTGGTGAGTTTACATGTACAATAATATTGCATAAGTATGAATCTAGGAATAATTTTTCAACACATGCGTCTAGTATTATATTAAAAGTTCTTGAGAAATAATTGGCAATTACATTTTATTTATCAAAAATATGAACAACTTCAAAGTCAAATTCTATAAGCAGCATTATCCGTTGGACTATGCATCTAATAATGACGAGTTGATTTATTAGGTGAAGTAATATGTGATTATCAATAATAAATTTAAATCTATTCTTGAGTAAATAATAATTTTATATTTTTATAACATAGACTATTGCTAGTGTAACAGGGTATAGATAAGATACTTATATTATTGACACATAGGGATAGATAGTTAAAACCATAGAAGTTTTTAGAATTGAAGATAGGCTAGTGGATTTGGTATGATCCACCATAGAATATTCTAGAAAGAGTTTAGAATTACTATCTAGATGGAACAAAAAATAGAACCTTCTAAAAAAGATAAGATAGTTATTTAGATAGAGTCTACTATAGAACCTTCTAAAAAGAGTTTAAGGCAATTATTTAAGTGGAGTCCATCATTTAAGAATATTTTAAAAAATCAAGGGTGATATAAGAAAGTATAAATAGGACTGGCCAAGGCTTTTTGGAACATCTGGTCAGACATGGCTTCAAATCCTTCTTGTTAATACAATTGGATTTTGTATCTTCTTATTTTATTTTATTTTTTTGTAATTTTGGTTGCTTAGTTTTATCTTTTGTATTCTATTTTGTTTAATTTTTTTCAATTTTGTTCTGATCTAGTTTGTCTTATCTTGTGATGAGGTTTTATGTTGCTATGGATTAGAAGGATCTTAGAAACTTGAGATAGACTGGTCCTATTTCATTGGTATTAGAGCAAGTGTTAGAATATATTTTTTGTAGTATTTCAATAGTCATCATCTAGTCCAAGATTAATTATTGCACTTACATTGGATATTGTGTTGAGGCTACCATGAATTACTCTTAAAAAGTCAATCGGGAGGTGAGAAGGCATTACAATAGTGAAGTCTAGTGGAAAAATTACAACATAAAAGATATGGCAAAGCAATCCCAGATTGAAATTCAAATACATCACTTTTTAGGTTAAATAGCTACTTTACAAGGGCAAATAGAAGCCTCGAGGACAAGGAAGTCAACATCTAGTAGGTTGAAATTGAGTAAGCCTAGTACATACTTTAAGACTTCAAGACAACAAGATATATATGAATGGCACGTTGAGAGTGGATGACTATCAATCTCATTACATATTTGCTACAGACATCTCATAATTATACCGCAGTTGCCATCTTTGTGGATCGACTCTCAAAGCAACTTCACTTGGTCTTACAAGAGGCATGGCATTGCCTCCTTAATATACAAAATTGACAAAAGCAATATGTAGATAACCACCAATAATACAAGATCTTTCAAGAGGATAATCAAGTGTTACTGTCTAATGCCAACTTGCTACTTGCTACATCAATCCAAATCTATAAACTATCACCTCGGTGGCTTAGACCTTTCCCCATTTTTGTTGTGATTTTTGATGTTGCATATTGCTTCAAGCTTCTACTACATATTTGGATCCATCTAATCTTCCATATTTTGCAACTATAGGGATTTCATATCAAACCAAAAGGCTTTCTAAATTCATACCAACCACCACCACTACCACTAATTGTAATTGATGATCAACAAGAATATGAAATAAACAGCATTTTAGAATATCATTTGCCATGGTAGTGGATGTCCTCAATTCTAGGACAAAGTTAGTTGGAAAGGTTATCCAATCCATGATGCAATGTAGGAACCTGCACAAAACCTCATCCATTGCTAAGAGACAATTTGAACACACCATCAAGAGCAAAACAAGGACGTTCCATATTAGTAGAGAGAAATTAATTGTAATAAGATATAGATAAGATATTTGTATTATTGATACATAAAGATAGATAATTAGAACCATGGAAGTTTTTAGAATTGAGAATAGGTTAGTGAACTAGATAGGATCTACCATAGAATATTCTAAAAAGAATTTAAGATAGTTATCTAAGTGGGACAAACCATAGAACCTTCTAAAAAAGCTAAGGTGGTTACTTAAATAAGATCTACCATGGAACCTTCTAGAAGGAGTTTAAGGTAGTTATTTAATTGGAGTCTATTATCTAAAAACATTCAAGAAAGTCTAGGGTGATAGAACAAAGTATAAATAGGATTGGCGTGAGCCTTTTGGGGCATCTAGTTAGGTATAGCTTCAGACCCTTTCTCTTAATACAATTAGATTTTATATCTTCTAGTTTTATTTTGTTTTTTTTTTTAATTCGAATTGTTTAGTTTTGTCTTCCATGTTCTATTCTATTTAATTTTGTTTAGTTTTTTTTTTTTTGTCCAGTCCGTCCTATCTTGTGATGAAGTTTTATGTTGCTATGGATTAGAGGGGTCTTGGACACTTGAGATAGACTAGTCTTATTTCAGCTAGGGCCTTGTATTTTGTAGTTAAATAATTTTGTTTTGTTGTGTTTAACCTTTGGTTTGCATAAGATACATGTTGATCTATTTTTTTAGTGTAATTTTGCATAAGTATTATTTTGACAGAGACATTAAATACACTAATATATAAGAAAAATAGGAATTATTAGTTAAATACCAATAATATTAGATGGTTTACATATGCACATTTGACTTCCTCAAAAGCTTTAATAGTTGTAGTATTTTAATAATGATTATACTTATATTCAAGTTTATTGAATTTGGATGTGGATGAAATCAAGTATGCAATTTTTTTTATAAAAGTCTGGTTGAACTTAATAATCTCAAGCATATTATGTATTATTTTTTGATTGCAAGATTTGAGCATGTTTTGTATTTGTTTGATTTTCTTAGGATCGAATGACTTATCCAAAAGACAAACAATATACTTGAATATGAATCCAAAGAAGAATAAAAACATGCATTTATTTGCATTGAGGCTGATGCCATATTTTTGACAAGCTTTAAAGATTTGTTGTAGATGTTGGATATGTTCTTTTTTAAGTCTATAGATTGTTCTATCATTGAAGTATATTCAAAAGAATTTTTTGAGATATAATTTAAATGCATATTCTATCACACGTTGGAATATTATTTGTATATTTTTTGTACCAAATGATATTTGTTTAAATTGAAATGGTTCCTATTTTGTAATAAAAACTATTTTCTTTTGTCCTTTGGTGCTATAGCTACCTAGTAGTATTTCAAGAAACAATCAATGAAGCTATATAACTTGTGGCCTGCTACTTTGTCAATGATTTCTTCCATATTCGGGAAGAAATAATGATTATTTTTTGTAGTAGCATTTAATCTATGAAAATCCATGCAAATTCATAGAACTCTTAATTTTTTTGGAATAATTACCATGGATGACAACTATGGAGTAGAATCCACATGTAAAATAAATTTGGCTTGTAGGAGTTTATTTAGCTCTTACTTCATGGTTTGCATGTAGTTGGGGTTTATTTAACATTGTCTCTTTTGAATTGAAGCGATATTTGAGTAAAGATAGATTTGATGTTTTCCTCTCTTTGAGGTATTTTCCTTAAATCCTTATGTAATTAAGCAAATATTTCTTGATATTCATAGAACAATATAATCACATTGGTTTTTATATTGCTGGATGCATCAATATTTATTTTGACATGTTTTGATTTTGAAGGTGTCTTGATGTTAATAAACTCTACTTTTTCTTTTAGATTATACAATCATTTCATAATTATTTATCCTTCTAATTTAATATATGGTGGTTGTTCATTAATATCAGACTAATCTTAGAGCTTAATAGTGAAATTTGCAAAAACATCTAACCAGTTTTTATGTATTATGGCCACAAGATATACTTGCATAACAAGAACCAAGTAGGATGTAAGTGCCCATACAAACTCTTTTTACTCTGGACTTATTCTGAAGGTCCTATCGTTACTCATGACTTATCAAGTCATTGAGGTTTTTTCTCAAGTTATGCAATTATCGATATGAATATGCATGTATTGATGCTAGTGGTGAATGGCAATTTTGTTGTTGAATTAAGTGTAAGATGCATTCATATCTTGCAACCAGTCTTTCTAAGATAGTCAAAAAATAATTTTGTTGAACTTCTCAATTTGAGAAGATAATTGGTACACAGTGTGATTCATCAAATTGACTTATTGATTGTTTTAGAACAAAATGATGCATTTAGATGGCTAAAACAATACTTGTTAGGTGAAGATTAGTTTAGAGGATTTTAAATAAAGGAAAATTAGTGTTATTGGAGAAAATACAATTTAGTATAGAAAATCTAATAGCAATGCTCAATTTAAAAGGCATCTTAGAGGCATCAATTTAGCATCTTTTTTAGTATTTTTGGAGCATCTAGAGAGAATTTAGAATATTAAATTCAAGTATTATATAAAGCTAAATATGCCGTATTGTATATGGTATATTATGTATTGAATATAACATGTATATAGTATATTATGCTTAATACAATACAAATATTGTATTGGACCATACGGGCCGCGCACATATGGGGCCAGATTCGTACGGGCTGCGAGTATCGGCCGGACCGGGTACTGGACTACCCGGGTATTGGACCGATCCGCCTTTCGGTAACAGCCACTGTTGACAGCTGTCCCGACCGCGACGTGATGGCTTTCCATTTGTTTTCTGTATTTTTTTTTTTTTTTCTGATTTTCAGAGCTCCACAGGTTGCATTTGCTCTCCACTTGTTTGGTTTTTTATCTTATTTTTCTGAGCTCCTGTAGACCTGGCGTGGGCTAAGTGCGGTGTTGAGGCTGGTAGCAACGAACTCTAAAATTCTGGCCTTGTCGCTGTCGTGGCTGTGCTGCGGTCCTTCTTTTTTCCAGTTTTTTTTCTGCTCCTTGGTGTGTTGTGGAGCTCCGTGAATCATGGCTGGTGGCTGCTGGAGGTTCTTTTGCTTTGGCTCTCTTGTCTAGGTTCTAGGTGTTGGCGGCTCAGTCCGGTGGGCAGAGGCTTTGGTGGTTGTGCTAATTATGCATTGCTACTGTGTGGAGCGACACCACCCTGGTCTTCTGTGTTTTGATTTTTTCGACGGCTGTAGGTGAGTTGCAATGTTTAGCATTGAACCTGTCGACGGCTACGAGTTTTGTGGTTGTTCCTCTCCAGTTGCGCTACTGCAGTGCAGTGGTGATGCACCTGCCCACCTTGTGCGGCTTTCTTCTTGATGTTTTCTTCGGCGCTATCCACATTGTTCCCATTTCTACTTGGTTCTATGGCAGTGGAAAAGCGCTCTCAAGTGGATTCTTGTTGATGATTCCTCGTGCTGGAGTGGCGTCGATGGCGGTTTTGTTTTCCTTCGAGATCTAGGTTTAGTGGTGCGGGGTTGCCGTGAAAGTGCATGCGGAGGGAGCATTACAAGTGTGCCCCAGATAGTTGCTCTGAAGCTGCAAAGGACGCGTGGAGGCTTGTGAATCACTTCTAGTTCTCTCGGAGGCATGTAGCGGATTCTTTTCATTGTAATTGTGTGATCATCGGAGCAAGTTGTGCTCCAATTATTGCTCCACCGTGTCTACAAGTGCTCGCAACTCTATTGATGATTGTAGTGGGTCTAGTGGCACTATCCCGTTTTTTCATTTCTCATTGTTTTGTGGTGCTAGAACTTTCGTGGTCAACTTCGTCGATCGCTGCTGTCCTATCTCGAGGACAAAATTAAAGGTTGTGTTAAGGGTCGTAGAAGAGAAGGTTCAAGACGGCAGCAGATCAGATACACTAGTATTGATTTAAGGAAATTAGCGCTTGGTGGACTCCAAAATGTTACTTGCACATCTTCGACTCCTTTTGCACTAATGGTCTAGGATTGTTTTTTTTCCTTCTGCGGGTGCCGCGGTGGTAGTGCTGCAATCGGGTTTGCGGATATTTGAAATTTTGAAGTCGTTGCTAAGGTGCTGACAATCAGGGCTAAGGAAGCTGGTTGTTCAACAACAGTTTGGCGCTCACGTTTGGTTGATTTTGGCTCCTCTCCAGTGGAGTAGTGGTCCTAACCACTTGTTCATTAAATTTTTATTCCATTCAACAAGGGCTGCGGTTGTGCTCTCCTATGTTGACGGTGCCTGGTTTGGCATCCTAGCTTGTCATAGTTCCTCTAGTTGTTTGTGTTGAATCCAAGTATTGCTGCTGTTCTATGGTTGTTGTTTCGGCAGTCGCATTGCAGTGATAATGCGGTGCTGTGTCGGATTAGATCTTTAATTTCCTTAGGATGCGGTTCTTCTTGCAACCCGGAGGCTCGGGTTGACCACCTCCGCTGCGGCAAATGATCTTCCAAGTCCATATCATCCAATTCATATCCTTGAGCTAGAGCCTTCTCATCAATCAAGCTCTGCTAGGTTGTGGATATCGGTATTCCAGCAAGGTGCTCTCAGGCAGATTCGGCATTCAGTGGGTACAAATCCTAAGCAGCTCGAAGAGGGGGATCTAGTGCCAGCAGAGGCTTGTCATTTTACTCTCTATAGTTGCGGTCGGCAAATACCATGGTGCAGTGATGAGCGAGTGGCTGACCAACTGCTGCGATCAGACGATCTGGATTTCCACATGGAGTGAAGGAAGGGTCACTATTGCGGAGAATCCTCGACGCTTCCGAGGGAACACTGCGAAGGTCATGGCACATTGTAATTGAAGTGAAGTTGATTGATGACGTTAATTGTTGCTGCTAGCCACTAATGTCAGGTAGCTTTAGGTTGTGTAATCGAAGCTCGTGAAGCAAGCTCCGTAGCAAGCTCACCTTGGAGAGCCAAGGTAGAACCACAGCTACCCTTAATCGTTGATAGTATTGAATAGGAGCTCATGCAGTCATTAGATAGTGGGTGCTACTGTTAAGAAGGAGCTCAAGGTTCGTTGTCCAAGTTTTTCAAGTTGTGAGAATTTCCAATACTTTTGTGTAGAACAAGGGTTTAATACTAAATTGAATGGATTTACGATTAGATGAGAATTGAATGAATTAGGTTAGAGGATGGATTTTTGTATCGGATGAATATAAAAGTAGATGAATTCTTATTTGTGGATGAAGAAATATTTATGGATGAAAATTCATTTATAGATGAAAAATTTTAATTGAATGATTATTGATTAATGGATGAAAAATTAATAAAAAATACATAATATTTTTGCGATGGATTGAGAACTTAGGATTTATTTTCTTGCATGCTTGGTTAATCATGATTTTTTTTTTTTTTTTTTTTTTTTTTAGTGATTAATGGACGTTTATTAAACTGAAAAGGGTCCTTAATAAGAACCTATTGTAGTAACTCTATATAATTAAATTATAAGATAAGAAAATTGTTGTATATTAATATAGATTTCCATTAGTAGAGATTTATTTTAGTTCACATGTGGATTTCTTAAATTGTGATAATTATATTTTGTAATATCCCAAGGGACATGACCCAAGTGTTGTTTGCTATGCAGAGTATAAATAAAGTTGCTTTGAGTTAGAAAGTCCAAAGAACTTGCAGATATGATTTGGTATGACATTAATTCTAGATCTCTTTATTACAAGTACATTAATTAGTTGATGTTTTCTAATATGAAATTTGATAATTGTGATGTTGAGATCTATGGCTTGGCATTTAAGTCCGCAAACACTTGCGATGATGGTTTGGAGTATGCCTTGAGTTTTAGGTATCTTAGTATCTTGAGGTTTAGTTTGAATAATTGAACAAGAATAATTGTAACTATAGTATTGTTGAGTATATCCCCAATTGTGGTTTCTTTGGCATTAGTGTCAATTGTCTTTGTGGCCTTATGCACATGTAGCTTGTGTTGTATTTGCTTGCAAATCTTTTGCAACTTCCAATCGTCTATAATATATGGGAAGTGAGGTTCTCATTTTGTTTCCATAGGTATTTTGAGTTGTTACCAATTAACTAGAGTACTTAAATGCCAAGCCATAGATAAACAATAAGAATCACTTAATATCCATTTCTTATAACATTGTCACAAATATTTATTTCATTGTTTTAATAATAGGACCTCATTAATCTTTGCTACAATTAAGTAAGCTTTGATGCGTTTATCGAGGTCATCCATGCAATTGTAAATGAGATATTTCAGATTGGATTGTCCCAAGTTCACTACTATTTCTTCGATTGAAATGGATGCAATGGATTGATTTTCTTGTGAAGTCTAGTTGTAGCCCTCTTCCATTGCCATACTTGATTGTTGTGTTTGAGGTACGTGGAAGCTAGGTTGTGAATTTCAAACTATTTGCATAAGTTCTTCATAATGTTGTGATATTTCTTATAAAACCATTTTCATGCAATCTTCTATTGCCATGGTATATTGTTGTAACCAACTCTATAAGTCTCCAATACCTTTAGGATTAGTTGAGATCTCTCATGGGTTCTACTTGTGGTACTCTACTCAACTAAGAAGATATCTTCCTATGTCTCCTCTTGCTCCAACTTCTTTGATCATTTTGCTTGTGGATCTTATGTTTATCCTCTGTGAGGGTTCCTTAAGGTTTTGTCATGTAATGCTCTCCAACATGGTTGCCAAATATTACTTGGGCTTTTGAGATTATTAGCAAGTTTGGGACACAACCTTGCAAGATTGGACTTGATACATAAAATGATCAAAAAAAGGCAAAGACTAGTTTACTATTCAATCAAAAATATACAACCTCCAACCCAATACTAGCTTGATTTGAGGTACTACTACGTAAAACCTACTACACAATGTGCTGCTTTTTGATTGCTTGCTAAGTACTTTCTCCAACCCTTAAATATCCCTCTACCTTATTGTTTCCCTTAATTTTGATAACCTCATAATGGCCCTTTATTTCCTTGCTTATTGCTCTTTTGACACTAAGCCATTGAGATATTTTAGCAGATATCATTTGCAAGCAGATACAAGCTCCTCCAATGGATAACATTGTCATAGTTAGGTGTAGTTACTTTGGGTGGATAACAACTATAGTAATCAAAGAATAAGCCCATAAATTTTCCCAAATATGCTTTAAAGGCTTAATTAATAACTAATTAATATACTAGAGGGATGTTCTTGAAGTCAAATGGCATGACAATCTTTAAAAAAGGCACTCCATTTGGTAATAAAGATAGTTTTATATTTTTCTTTTGGTTGTATCTTAATTTGGCGATAACAAAAAAATTATCAAAGAATAAGTGCATATTGTGGACTTCAACTTTGTCAAGAACTTCTTAGAATAGAAGTGAATAAAGATCCTTATAAGCAATAGCTTTAAAATAGCACAAATCTATGGAAATTCAAAAATATACTAAAGAAGTCCATTACAACCATAATAGTTAGAAAATAAGGATTTGGTTGGTTATAGTGGTCTAAATAGTTAAAAATTGGTTGTTAAGAAGAATAGGAAGAAGGTTAGCTTTGGTACCTAAATTAAATAAGAATAGCTTTACATCATCACTTTGGTTCCAACCTATGATTTGAATATTAGAAAGATACTCATATATTGGTATTTTGTTAATTGAAATATTGCTTAAGTTGTAGAAGATTAGTAATTTGGAATGATTAAAATAAGCCAAAATAGTAAGATTTAGAATTTCAACAAGATAGACATTGTCTACAATAATAGCAAACCTTCTTCTTCATCAATATGTCTTTCAATCATTTTATAAGTGTCCTTTTAAAGTGGTGGCATTCAAATCAAGGTAGTGATTGATAATGGTGCATATTGTTTTGTTTTCTATACTTTGGACTTGATTGTTAATCCAATTGTAGATGATATAGGTGTCTTTAAATCACAAATGATTGAAGAAAATTTGATAGCTGGATATTATTTTCTTATCTTAAACCACCATAAGAGTAATTTTGTAAAAAAATCATATGAATAAAAATGGATGTAGCCATTTGTTGTTATAATATTAAATAGAATTGTATCAAAAATTTGCACACCATAAGGTTGATTGGCATGTCTTATATCTTACCTAGGAAGAATTGAAGCAACAATAAGAATTCAGTATTTGCAATATTGTATTGAAGCACAACTATTGGATAAAAGAACAAATAAAGAACAATATATTAATAGGACCTAATTGAGAAATTAGTACAAAACTTAAGAAAGCATAGGTAACGAAAAAGGCGGAAGTAAAAATTTTGATTTTTATACTTCTCATTTAGATAGCAAAAACTAGATTTACTTTATGGACCTGTAAATGGGACAAAGAATATTACACTTGTCAAAGAATCATAACAATTAGCTTTGAAGAAACAGAAAGAGTAACTACAAAAATAAAAAAACCACTAGAAAAAGTTACCACATAACAATTATAAAGACCACCAACAAAACAAAAAACCAGACGATCTTGTAAAAAACAGAACCATCCACAAAAAACGTAACACCCGACCAATGTTTGATAAACATGCTCAAAAAAGAGACTTCACGGAAATATATAAATGTCTCAAACATGCCAAAATTTGGGATTTTGATGGATTTGAAAAAGCAAGCTAAATTCAAGGTTTAGTTTTCACAGAAACATTTAAAAGCACTAAAATGGGATTAAGACATGCACACCAAAACAACTCCAGCCACCGACCCAACCCCGCACAAGTTCGTCACCGCTACTCTACCCTCATGACCACCAACTCCACGCAATCCTAAACATTCACTCAATCATTTCTCCACACTACGTCCCCTTCAACAATAACACCTCCCTTCCCACCACCTACAGACCCAACCTATACAACACTACCATACCAACGCAATGCTACTCCTCCGTCAACATCACAACGCTCCGCTGCACACTCTACTCCCCACCAACCCTCTAAACCCATCCGATCAATCCCTCCACTCAACACTTGATTGCACCTCCATGCATTCAACACCAGCCATGTCCTCCAACGTGATACCTCGACCAAAACATTCCTCATCGTCTCTTCTCACTCCCATCTACCACCCCTACACCCAATCAAAACTCCTCCAACCCCTACAGCACCCATTCCGCACCCACACAAACCCACCCCAACCAACACAGCAATCCCCTCCTCCCACCATCGCCCCGAACACACTCCCTCAATACACACACAGTCGCCCACAGAATCACACCATCATCCGGGTCCACCTTCACACAACCATACCACAGCCCAAAATATGCACATCCTCCATCACAACCTTGATATACAATTCCTCCAAAGGGAACTCTACAGTCAGTCCAGCGAAGGCCCAACGCCCTTCATACAGGCATCGTACCGTACTATGCACTCCCACTCCCTTCCTATGGCAGTCTTACCACCAACTTTCCAAACCCTGCCAACCCTGTGTTCATCGGCCTCCATTACCATAAAAACCACGCGACTAACCCGAGGCCCCAGGAACTCGGCAAAACTCTCTGTCCACCCTCACTACTCCATATAATCACACTGATCCTGTGTCGCCCTCCAACCCGATCCCACCACTTCCACTCTTTGGCTTCGCGCTCTTACTCCACGACACCCGCAGCTTTCTCTGCAACCCACCCCCGCTCTCACTTTTACCACCGATTGCTCCACCGCACAACTGCTCGTCCTCACACACCGCCACCACTCGCTCCTGCCGACCCTGCTCACTGCCCGTCACGCCCACCTCGTCCAACCGCCGGTACACCGCACTCAATGGATCACATGTCCAACCCACGCTACGACTCAAACACCTTACTCCTTCGCTTCGCTACTGCCATCCGCTGCTTCGCTATGCACCCTCTTCAAACTCGCACCCTCGCAGCCTCGCAGCCTTACCGACCCCATCCTTGACCGCCCAGGGGTATAGTGTTGGAACCTGACTGCTGAACGCCAAATCCTCGCCCACCGAAACCCCTTCCACGATGAAATCCTGCATTCACATCCACCCGACTCTCTGTCACCACTCCGTTCCTAACAATCTCCCGCTCCCTCACCATCATCACACCCCATCCAACATCATGCCACTCCCACAACCTCAACTCTCCCCTGCCCCAAACGCTCTCCGTCTCATACCGCCAATACTGCCTTCCTGCAAACCACAAACCTCAACCTTACCCCCCTCGATCTCTCCATCCCCCCCCCCTCTCTCTCTCTCTCTCTCTCTCTCTCTC